TTGGCAATTCGCTTTGGCGAATCAGTTTCTTGTCACGCCACCAGGTGAGGACAGCCGTTCATAGTGCCAAGTTCATCGTATGTTGATGTGTGTGTGTGTGTGTGTGTGTATGTTATGTATGTACAAAATAATTACTAAAATACAATTCTCTTTCAATGTGGGACGTCTGCGCATGGAGGGATCTCGGGCGCAGTTGATTTTCTTGACTAGGGTGAGGAGTGGAGTAGCTAGGAGCTTTGACTTGTGGAAGGAACTGCAACAGCAACAGCAACAGCAACTGCAACTGTAACTTCAACTGGAACTACATCGACACTGAGTGCCACTATGATATCTGACAGCACTGCGCCTTTCTAGCCATGCCCTGGCCCTCCCAATGTGTCTGCAAATATATAGATGAAAGATGGTGAGTGGTGCAGGCGGTCTACGGGGTTAGCAAATAGCAAATGAAATACGTATGTATGCATTTATAGGACTCTGAATAGATATATATTTGTCTTTTGCCCAGCAATCGGATTGATTGATGCCATAGGTACGAGTATAACAAGTGAGCGATTACGAATTATAAACTGTTTGCCAGTTGGCCGCGACTCTACAGATGATTTGTCTGTTGCTGTGTAAAAAAAAAAAACAAAACAAGAAACGAAGAATCAAATCAAAAATGGTATCAAATAACAAGTTTTGTGTTAGCTTCAGTGAACAAATACTTTTAGTGGTTGGATGGGTTCCGCAATAGATCTGAAATCGAGCCCAAAACTCGACTGCCAGCACACACTGCCATCCTTGTGCCAGAACACACAGGTGCGGGCAGTCGACTGCAAATTGTTTGACCAATTAGGCGGCGCTCACTTCAACTTTCCTTTTTAGTGGATTATATAGCTTTATTAGTTTCAATTAAAATACGCACATGTATCCCAGAATAATTAAACCGATCGAATGTTGCAGCCAAAGAATATCAGAAGTAATTGAACTGTCTGCTCAGCAGTGCCAGTGCCCATCCAGAGGCGTAGGCAGGGTGTGTTGCTGCCCCGCTAATTGCTTGTTCGACACAATATATATTGTTTGGCATTTCGTTTCCCTCATTAAGTATAGCTACGCGTGTAGTGGTGTACTTGTAGTGTGTATTGATTGATTGATTGCTTTTCGAATTGATTTTAGTGCTAATTTCCATAACCGGGCTCTAAACTCTACAACCGTGCGAACTATAATTCGTTCTCTCTGTGGGGACTCGCTTACTGCGGTTTGGTTTTTTCACTAAGTCTTTAATTATGTTCAGCTGCTTGGTGTATTTTCTTTCTTCTTTTGTTTTGTTTTTGGATTTTGTTGCTGCTACGCAAGTGGAATGCAACGGGCGGGTTCAGGGGTCGTACGGTCTAAGTGCATTTGGAAATTAGTTTACCCATTTACTGATTATGTCCTGCAACGGAGAAGAGCAGAGTGAGCGTAATGAAGTTCTTTAGCGTTGAAATTGCCAAGCTAATCTCAGGCGGGCACGTGCTGCGCCCCACTCACCTTCACGTCGTCCATCTCGTCATCGGACGACGAGTGCGAGAGTCCACTGTAGGTCTTGAAAGTCACGTTCTTCATGAACGACTTGAGTAGACTGGCGCTTAGCTGGCCAAACTTGTAGGGCACCACCGGGTCGTAGTCACCGTGCGCTTGGAAAATCTGCAATATTCGGGGGCGGAGCTGTTGATTAAGGAACTTCTTCCGCGGCATAGACTCCACTTACCGGCACATCCTCACTGTTCACCTTGGCTGCAGGGAATTTCTTGTGCAGCGGCAGCCAGCACGAGAGTGCCACAACGCCCGCCAGCGGCTGGTCATATGTCAACGCCGAATAGAGAGCCAGAGCTCCGCCCTGCGAAAATCCGCCCAAGACGATGCGATTGGCAGGAATGCCAGCGCTAACCTCCTTCTGGATCATTCCGTGCACATTGTCGCGCGCCGCCTGTATGCCGGGCTCATCCTCAGGCCCGGAAATGTCCAGCGTCTTCAGGTCGAACCAGGAGGGCATGCGGAAGCCAGCATTGAGCGACACTGGCTGTGTTGGGGCTGTCGGGCAGATGACCTTCATGAAAGGGGGTCGGATGGCGGCCAATGCACTGCTCCAGCCGTGTCTAAAAAGAGCCAGTGTTGATTGATTCAACTGTCCGAGTATTGCTTCGATCGTACACACTTACCCAGTATCCCCCAGTCCGTGCATGAAAATCAACTGAAGGGCGGAGCAATCGTTTAATGTTTTAAAATTCAAATGAGCAATGAGTGTGTGTTTGTGTATAGAAAGAGTACTTGCCGTTGCAGTTTGCTTGGCCGTGGCCTCGACAATGACCGGTGCAGACATGTCTAGTGTTTAGCCTCTTGTGTTAACTCTGGTGACTGTTCTCTTCCACACGCTGTGCCAGGTACGTCGGTGTGACTTTGCGCTGTGTGTTTGCCTCTTTTGCTGCTCCGTCGTCGTTCTGCTCGGCGTTTTTTCTGCAATGGCCACCGAACCGCTCTTGCTAGTTGCGTGTTTCGAATTTGTTGTCGCTTCCGGGTGCTGGAAGCACGTAGATTAGTTATGTCATGTGTAAGGCAAAGCAAAATTAGTAATATTGATTTTACGATAGCAAATGACAGCTCGTCGCCGGCTATGGCAGTGTTCCTTCCTTGCGTTTAGCACTGGCAGTAGTTTTCAAACAACACACACACACTATAGTGATACCAATGTGACACTTTCACCTACCAGGGCTTACTTTATCGCTATTATTTTTAGTTTATTTTTACAATTTTTTTTTAGTTTTTACTACGCGATCAATGTGACCGCGGACTTATCGCAAAAGCACACCGCTGCCCCTCAGAAATATACCGTCTCATTTTCGCAATATACGGTAAATATACCAAGGAATAAAAATGAACTTAACCCACTTAATCCCGCTCTTCAGCTCAAGTGTAGTGGACTATCGATGTTTATTGCCGCATATCGACTTGTTTGAAATGCAAATTGTTTTATGTTCAAGTTCAGTAGAATTTTGTATTAATAGTTACAAAATTGGGTATAATTCTATAGATGTAAACGTTTTAAGCATCTGTTTTCTATATTTTAAAAGACTTCGATCCGCTCCATCAAACAATCGCTTAAGAATAATCAATTTTAACTTATTAATGTTGAAACTCAATCGAAAAATGCACTACACTGATATCAGTGGGGGAAATGGGTTCTGCTTGGAGACCACCAGCTTGTTGTGGGCATATGAAATGTAGCCCTTAATCTTTCCCTCGTAGATGAGATTGGCAATGATGCAATGCGTCTCGTCAAGGGAGACGTCTGTAACGCCAACGAACTGCAGTGCGGTCATAAAGTCGCCCAAGTCCAGCTGGTGCGTCTGGCGGATGGCAAACACTTTCTTGAACAGATTGCGGTAGACGATGAACTTGAGCTTCTCGACCAGCAAGTAGATGCCGCTGCGGATCAGCACCTGCTCGTTGTCGCGCACAATCTCGTCGAACTTGTTGACGTTTCCGGCCTTCAGGGCCTGGGCCAGGTCGTGGAATAGCAGCAGATCGTGATGCTGGAGCAGCGCTTTGCTGGGCAGGTAGCCGAGCAGCATCTTCACAGGAACCAAGTAAATCAGTATCAGTCGCTTGTTGCTGCCGAAGCGGTCCGGGCAGTGGGTGAAGGCAAACGACAAGTCCTCGACAGCCATGCGGTAGTTGGAGTCGAACATGGCACGGCGGCCGACAAAGTATTTGTAGGTAATCTGCTCGGGCAGTGGAAAGGTGTCCTTGAACGCACAGTTGTCGATGGCTCGGATGAGGGGCTTGCACAGATGGAGCTTATTGATGCGGAAATAGATCTTGAATAGCTGATTCACCAGGTTCATCATCCCCAGGCGCTTGGTCTCCTCCTCGGAGGCGCGTCCGTCGGCGGCGCACACGCGGAAGCAAGCCATCATGCAGTCGGCTGCCTTCTCCAGTATTTGGCCGGGTGTAAAGCTGCGTCCATGCTTCTCGCAGGCCTGGGCTAGGTATCGCAGGTCCAGGCACACGCGGTACATCACCGGCAGGCACCAGTTCTCGTCCTTCAGCATCTGCAGCAGTCTAACCACCGCCGAGCAACATGCCGCCTGTTGGGTGTAAGCCTCCATGTAGTTGGGCGGGCTCTGGGCCAGATTATAAAGCACCTTCAGATGAGCGCCGAACACCTCGTCCAGTGGCGCATCCAAGTAGCGTTCCACCATCTTCTCGGGCTGCGCAACGTGCAGCTTGTCGTTCTGTACGTGCACGTCGCGCAGTGACAGAAACGTGCTCAAACTTTGGCCACTGCAGGCCTCGGCACAGCGCCCAACGCTGGTAAGGTAGTTTGCAAGCGTTCCAAACATATTTTGCTTATTTTCTCTTTTTTTTTTGTTTGTTTATATTTTTGGCCGGCAAACCAGTGTGACCGCGGAATTATCGATCAAATATACCGACAGACCCTCGTAAATATACCGAACTATACCCTTGCGTTTTCAAAATATACTGTAAATACACCGCGAATATTAAATTATTTTCCTCGATTTTGTTGCTACGTTTAATATTACTAGCTAGTTAAGAGTATCATAGTATCCTTCTCCACAAGAATGGCTAGTTTTTACGGCTTTCTTTTCTTGGCCGATGTATATACATTTTGATAGGTAACAAGTGGATCAGTAATAGTATCAGTATTTTGCAGCCCTAGTTTATAGAAATACCGTGTAAACGCGTTAGGAGATTTTGTAAGGACATGTAATTTCAAAAAAGAGCGGGAGCACACTCAACGGCTGTGTAAAAAATAAAGATGTAACTTAAAAAGTGACTAAATGCATATATATCTCCCTTGGAAACCTTGTCGGCTACGTCACTCTCCCCGAGACCTTTAAAACAATGACCATGGACTGTAAGTCTCTTTTTAGTAGCCGATAAGTTTCTAAATTTAAACTAAATACATATATGCATATGTATATGTACATATAACCCGTAAAAGCTGTCAGTACTAGTTTCATTTGTTGCCAAATTTTCAATCCTCTATGTTTGATTCTTTCGATAAATGATAAAATAAAACTCCAAATCATTTCCACTATAATTACAATTAATAACCGACACGAGAACAGAGATTCACAGGGACCGACATGTCGACGCCAAGTTTCCTTTTGAGCAGCGGCACAAGTATGCCTATGGTCGGGCTGGGCACATGGCGTGTGAGTAATTACGAATTATTCTTTTGACTACTGATTGTGCAATGCCCACCAAAGAGTGCAATCAAATGTGTTTTCTTGCAAGTTGGTTTCATGGTCAATGTCGCTGCCAAAACAAAATGAAAGCTCTCGCAGAGCTTTCAAAGCTGCTAAAACATCTGAATAATTTCCGCCCACCTTGTGTTCTCCTTTCAGAGCCCGCCTGAAGTCGTTACACAGGCCGTGCAGGATGCCATTGACATTGGATACCGCCACTTCGACTGTGCCCACATCTACGGAAACGAGGCACATGTCGGAGTTGCTATTCGAGATAAGATCCAGGAAGGCGTTGTAACACGGTGAGAAGCGTACTTTAAGTTCTCTTAATCTTCACTTTCTGATGCCACACTGATTGCAGAGACGAACTCTTCATCACTAGCAAGTTATGGAACACCTTCCACAAGCCGGAACTGGTGCGTGCGGCCTGCGAGACGAGCCTTCGTGATCTGGGACTCGACTATCTGGACTTATATCTAATGCACTGGCCCATGGCCTACAAGTCGGGCAACAATCTCTACCCCACATGCCCCGACACCGGCAGGGCAGCCTTCGAGGACATCGACTACATAGACACGTGGAAGGCCATGGAGGAACTCGTGGACAGCGGCCTCGTCCATGCCATTGGGGTATCCAACTTCAACGAGAAGCAAATTAATCGTCTGCTGTGCCAGGCCAAGCTGAAGCCCGTGATGCTCCAGATCGAGTGTCATCCGTACCTGCGCCAAAAGTCGTTGATAACACTCTGCTACGACAATGCCATTGGTGTGACCGCCTACAGCTCCCTGGGATCGGGACACACCCCCTACGAGAAGCCCGGCAGCTACCCGCTGCTGCAGCACCCGATCGTCGTGAGCGTTGCTGAAAAGTACGGACGGACTCCAGCTCAGGTGCTGCTGCGCTATCAAACGCAGTCCGGCATCATCGTGATACCGCGATCGGTCAACAAGCAGCATATGCATGACAACTTCAAGAGGATCTGGGACTTTGAGCTGGCCATCGACGACGTCAAGGCCATAGATGGTCTGGACTGCAATGGTCGCTTTATGACTATGAAAGCGTAAGTCTCTGTTGGTTACTTTGATCTCATTTTCCCCATTTAATCGTTTCTCACCACAGCGCTTATGGCCATCCTCATCACCCTTTTGAGCTAGGGCAGAACTCTCAGGAATAGGACATCAACTAGGAGTAAGGGCAGGAGAACTGCAGGCAGAAGTCGATCCTAAAAATAATATCAAAGGTGCTCAAGCACCTATTTTAAATAGGCAAATTTATTACTTCACATTTGGCATTAACCTGGACTCACAGCAGTTCCTGTTGAACATCTTTCACACTATTTAATATGTATAACAGAAGATGGTTATGTGTACGTAGTTTATTGTGCAGTTAGGAAACTTAAAGCGTTTATTAGTCGAAATTCTGTTAAATGAATGAAAAACAATCGGTTTATACCACTGCTGTTCCAAGCTTGCCATGACTTCTGGCCTCGGCCCCAACAGACAGTGAACGCAAAGACTCTGCGGTAGCGGGCAAGGATGCCGGCCTAGACCTAAAAGGTACGAAGGTGCTCTCTTAATTCATAGTTCCCTTATGTGTGCTTTCAACCATCTGCCAGCAGAAGATCGAGGAGGGTTCCTGGCAAACACAACCATGGCAGATTCCTACTTGTGCTGCGATCAGGAGTACAAACTCTCAATCGAAATGGCCGATTTCCAATCTGAGAGTGAGACCGAGTTGGACTAGGGAGCAGGCTAAGATTACAATTGATTACAATCCATTCAACACATAACATACAATACATAACATAACATACAAATAAGATACATACCTAAATCCATAAACACCCATTTTGTAAACATTTGTAATGAGCCAAGTTTTCTAACAATAAAATGTGTAGCATACTTTCAGGATGCTTTGATATATTTAAAAATATCGAAGTCTCTTTTGGGGGCAGCTTTTGGCCTCAAAACAGCATACTTTCAAGCTGAAAGTATCCCATATACAAATCTGCGAAAACAGCCATATCCTGCAGTCCTTGGGGTCCTTGGTGGTCTCAAGGGATACAGGAGACCCATCCGCCCCCGAGGATGCATGCCATGTCCTGATCCGACAGGAAACAGCCGAGTTATAGCCTTGTGCGGATTCTGAAAACATGAAAATGGCATTATCCTTAATGTCCTTGCACACGAAATTATTGAGAAGGACCCGGTACATTGTCACGATCACAGGACGGACTGGAATGTCCTTGTCCGGCAGGAAGGAGCCGAATTATAGGGTTGTAAAGACTATTTTTTTAAATAACGGTAAACGGGCATTATGCTTAATGCCCTTGCATCCTGAAGGACTTCCATCGATCCGGGACATTGTCCCGATTACGAGGAGGTGTGGCATGTCCTGATCGGCCTTCAAATAAAGGATAAAACAACAAAAAAGGCTCTCATGTTCTTGTTGTCGATTTATTTTGTTGTTGTACAACTAAAGTTGTTTTTGTTATTCTTGTACATCAAGAAAGTGTTTGTTGTACAAAGCCACCATTCGTTTGCACGCCTATTTTGGAACTAAAAAGAGTTGTTGCACAGTGGCGCCCCCGCGATCACGGCAGCCACTTTTGGAACTAAAATAACGTAGTTCGAGAATTGACCGTTCAGAGTTGGGGCGCCACTGAGTACAACAAAATTCTTCTGAAAATGCTTCGCTCAAATGTAAATTTTCAGACCAACAGAAATCAGCAGAAAGTAGCTGGTTTTTATATTTTTCACTGTGTCAAAAGCTGGTTGCAATTAAATTTTTTAAAAGCAAAGTAACGGCCAAAGTATAACGGCCACTGCTTGAACTAAAATGGCGTTTCAGCGCGAAATCTCGACTGTTTCCTGTCGGATCAGGACATGCCACGCCTAATCGTGATCGGGATAATACCCCGTATCGTTTTCAATCCTTTCCGATACAAGGACATTAAGGATAATGCCATAATAAGGATGTTTTCCCATGCTTCCCACCCAAATTCAAAGATATCTTTGTTTTGTAACAATTAGATATACTTTATTTTGATTTAAAAACAAATGGTTGCATACATTCACATTTATGCCCCGATCCTTTCCGATTCGTTTCGTTTTCTTGTCGCCTGTTTTGTAAATAATTCTAGTGGCCTTTGCATTTGGATTATGCAGTCGTTGAATATAACACTTATAAAATCGTTCGCATCGCTTACATAAAATAAAAGATATCATAGTCGTTGACATTGTGTGTTTGCTTCGTGCATTCACTTAGGAGTATTCTGACAAAGATTCGAGACATAGTTACTAATTGTAGACACAGATTCCGCCGAGATCCTTCCCAGCATTCAGCAAATTAAATAAAAGCACGCAACGGCTTGGTGATCTGCGGATTAATGCATTAACTAAACTAACTAAGCGACATTGGTTAGGGGGCTGGCAAGAGCTAGCCAGCACTCTGTAGGAGCAGTTCCGCAGCCACCTCAAGACTCCAGTTGCTCTGCTGCAGGGCCTGCTCGCATTGACCCCTGCCGGCCAAGCCCAGTCGCGACAGCTGATCGATCTTGTAGTGGCGCGTGCCCAAGGACACGTCTCCGCCGGCTGCCCGCAGCGCATTGCGCACCTCCAACTCGATGGCCGCACTGCCCAGCTCCTGCAGCATCTGCTGAAGTTTCTCCTGTTCGCGGGCATAGTCCGAGGGGACGGGGGCATACAGCTGATGGGCTCCCTCCATGTCCTGCAGATGCTGCTGGCGCATTTTCTCCATCCGCCTGTGGATTTGCTGGGCTGAGAGTGGCGGCGGAGCCAGAGGGGCTGGTCGATGCGGCCGAAGGTAATCATCGAGTGTGACCTCATCGTAGATCGCGGGACCACTGGCCCCATTTGGTACCTGACCATAGTAGGTTGATCCAGCCGTGCTGGCCGCCACTGCATCATAGAGCGAGGCAGAAGAGGCGTAAGTGTTGTTCTTGGGCGCCACAACGCGATTCGATATGGCCACAAACGAATGATTCGTCTCTGGCTGCTGGGGATGCTGGTGGTTCTGGTACAGTTGCTCCTCTGGCTGCTCTGCTGGTGGCTGGGCGTAGTACTCTGAAGGCGTTGCAGCCACCTGCTCGTACCAGATGCGATTCACCACACTTTGGGTGGATGCAACGGCGGCAGCGGCCTCCACGTTGTTCTGCTTGGGTGAGGTATTCGACGACGGGCTGGAATGATTCGAATTGGCACAGCCGTTCTTGAGGGGCGTGAGATTCTGTTTGTACACCATATCCTTGTTGGCATACACTTGTGTCGAGTTGCGCTCGTATTCCTCCTGGGCCCTGTTCTGGCCATTGCTGTACATGTCCTTCTCCAGCTCGGCAATGAATGACTTGTCCAGCAATACGCTCTCAGCGCTTGGGGCCGGTGCTGCCGGCAAAGGCTCCACGGGGAGACTGGCGATTGCGGTGTTCGGTTCGGTTCTGTCCAGCGACAGATTACTGAGATTCAGCTGCATGGCTGCCGACTCCAGGGCAGGCATGTTCTCCTTATTCGAGTTGGGACCGCCAAAGAGGCTCTTCCTCACCGAGGGACTGTTATACATGGGGACTGGCGATGGCGACGCCCCCAGACATTGATTTAGATTCGAGTAGAGTGTTACTGCTCGCTCCAGGCTGCTGGTGTCGAAGGGATCCCGATCCTGTTCCCGATCCCTCACTGGCGTAGACTGCTGTTGGTTCAGCTCTCGCTTCTGGGCAAACTCCATGGTGTTGGAATAGGTTGGCGGCATTTGGTATGGAGGAGGCTGCAAGCGTCCCGGAGAGGCAGTCAGGTTGGCTGTGTCGAACTCAAAGTGCGCCTGCTCATCGAAAAACGTTGGAGATACATTCAGTGATCCTTCGACGTCGGAAAATGTGGGCACATCTATCGGGGCATCCAATATGCAGAATGAGCTGTCCATCTGCATGGATGAGCTGTCGCCAGCTGATCCTCCGGCCAAAGGTCGCACCTCCGGCGAAATGTCAATGAGTATTCCCTCCTGCTGGAACTGAGGCGGCGGCGGTCGCTGTGGCCCACCAACTGCCACACCTGTTGCCTTCGACATAGATCCCCTTTGCTTCACTGCATTGCGTCGCTGGAGCCCAGCCGAATCGTTGATTAGCTTGTTGTAGGCAAACTGCTTGCTGGTCGTGGACTTTCGCTCCTTGGCATGACTCTGGTTCGACAGGGAGGCGCACTTTCTCTGACGCTCCTCGCCGTTGGCCATGGCTCCGGCGCCACCACCCCAGCAAAAGCCGAACGGGGAGCCGTTGCCTGCACTGCTACGCATCACCACATCGCCAGTGGATGCAGCCTTACGCTGCTGTTCCAGTAAGTTTCTTGGGAAGATGCCAATCTCATATGTGCGCTGGTTCTGACCCTTGATCAGCTTCAGCTCGGGCCTTCCATCGATAATGGCAATGGTGTCACCAGCCTCAATTTTCAACCCCTTCGAGTCGTTAAATACGCGCGCGGCACGCATAAGCGGCGGTGACATGCTGACCAAGTATTCTCTGCAAAGGCAATGAATAAAAGCGGTTTAACAAGGAGTTTTGGAATGAATGTGGAATCCCTTTTTACTCACTTGAGAGCCGCAAAGGTTGGACGTTCTGCGGGGGTCTTGTCCCAGCACTGCAACATCATGGCGTAGACATCCGGCGGACATGCATCTGGCTGATGCAGGCGCTCACCCTCGCGATCTATTTTACGGAGAATTTGGGAGCCATTCAGGCCCACCCAGGGATCCTCGCCGAAGCTGAACATCTCCCAGAGAGTCACGCCGAACATCCAAGTGTCCGAGGCATGCGAGAACTGGCGGAAGCGCAGCGATTCAGGGGCACACCATGGGAAGGGGACCTTCTTGTGCTCCGACATGACGTAGCAATCGTCCTCCTGGGGCAGCGCGCGCATCAGGCCAAAGTCTCCGATCTTAATCTTGTTGCCAGCGGCCAGTAGGACATTGCGACAGGCGAGATCGCGATGCAGGAAGCGCTTCTGCTCGAGGTATGCCATTCCAGTCACTATCTGAACGGACCAGTTCCAGATGTGGGTGAGAGCCGTGTGGCGGCACTGCTTGCGCAGCGTGTCGAGTAGAGAGCCTCGCTCGGCCAGCTCCGTGATCATCATCATGGGTTGGGACAGCACCACGCCGTACAGCCGCACCAAATTTGAGTGATCCAGAGCGTGCATGGCCTGCACCTCGCGGAAGAAGTCGTCGATAATGCCCGGCTGGGTAAGATTATCCGACTTGAGCACCTTGACGGCCACCGGTATCACCTTGCCCGCCGGCGAGGCACTCCACTCGCCACGTCGCACAACCCCGAAGGAGCCGTCACCTAGTTTCAGGCCCATGGTGATGTCCTTCTCATGGATGAGGCAGGTTAGCTGCGTGCCATTGCCCTGTGTCGAGTCCCGCGCTGCGGTGGCTTGCTTCTTGGACGAGGGTTGCTTGCCACCCCCAATCAGCTTGGACAGGATGTTCTTGCGCCACTGATGAGCCTTCTTTTTGCGCACAGCCTCCAGCAAGCGTCGTATGGCCGGCTTGCCCAACCCACATCGTTCCAGATCTTCGGACAGTACATAGTCGAAGTGGGCCAGGCGCGATACCTGCAGATCGTCGCGTATCCGCTCCAGAAACTGCTCCAGCTGCACTTCGCGCAGCAGATCCTCCAGCCAGGCTGTTTCGCTTTGGCCGCCATCAACGACGACAGGAGAGGCCATATTCTAAAGAAAATCAGAAATAACAATTTGAAATTAATCTCAAAAACTGTACGATAAATTCGGAGTACTAACTAATGTGCGAAATCGGCGCAAGGAAATGAAAGTTCCGCAAACAGTGATTTTGATAATTAAATATCAATTCGCAATGACCTGACATGGAGAAGGTGGCGCAAGAACGCAACGCAACCACGGTTTCAGCTGACGTCACACATGTGGGAAATATTTATTTCGCTCTAGAGTTGATTAAATGCCATCTAAATGCATAATGTTTTGGGATAATATATGCCTACACGATGTCAACCACTAAAGCTAAACATTGCGTCACCTCCCAAAAAATCGGCTGCATTGACATACAGATGGGGAATGCACAGAGTCGGTTCTGCGGTCGATGTCGCTGCTTCAGCTTCTGCTGTACTGTCAATGACGCTATGTATGAGGTGTGCCAGGGCAAACGATAAACGGGAATAATAGGGTGAGTGCTTGAACTCTGACGCGTGCTCAAGAGGAGTTTATTAAGACCGAAAGATAAGCAGGCAGGGGAATGAAATGAAATAGATAGTTTGCACAATCCGAAGGGGGAGATCGTTCCAGTGACGGATTATGTGGAAAGGTGTAAGCAGTTATCGTTGTTACTGGAAAGACCTTTACATATGTGTGTATTATTAGTAACTGAGTCAACTGATTACATGCTCATGCCATTCCGAGGTATTACTTGAAAAATAACACTTAGCGCTTGACGACAGTTTGAGTAATTGTTCAGGCGGAAACTTGAATTTAAATAGCGGATGCGTCGACGGACAGCAACAACGCCCCATTGAGAGCAGGTTTATTTTCTATGCTATACGTAAGCGATCCCACCCCAAAAAGTTAGACCATTGTTATTGTTGTGCGTATTTCTAAACATTTGTTATAACTCTCCCGAGGGTATATGGGATGGGATGGCTGGACACACACTCACCCAAGCTGCAGATGTGCAAATTCGGTTGATTTTGAGAGACAGCTGCAGCTGAGGGCCTCAGCGGCAGCGGCAGCGAAGCGTTTTCTGCTGCTTCCGTTGGCTGCTGCACTCTGCTAAACTTCCTGTCTGGACTGGAACAGGTTGCCAAGACAAAAGAGACCAAGTTGTACGATGATGGTGATGTTGTTGGATTGGAGACGTGAAATTCAATATGCGAGACCCAGCCAAGCAGGCAGCCTCAGCAGCAGGCGCAAGGTGAAGGACGTCGACGCAGAAGTCTCCGTCGCAGTCACAGCCGCAGTTGGTTTTGTTTGAGAGTGTATGCTTGTGTGTGTGTGGGTTCGTGTGCGTACGTTGCTTTGTTTACACTCTTCGCCAAATGAGCAGCTGGCAGCGGTGTTGAATTTGTATACGAAAAGTAGCCATCACGACGACGCTACGCTGATGCCGAAAACACTTTAATATTAATTTAGTGAGCAGCGCGCTCGCCGCCACACACAGCAGCACACATAAAAACAATGAATCCGCTTTCAACAGCCACTTTTCCGCCCAGCTCGCCGCACTCCCCCGCTGTCGTCACGTCACACGTTTTTGCACAATTTTCTATGTTTTTGCTGTTGCTGTAGCTGTTGCAGTTGCCTGTGTGCTCAGTGGTGTTTGTGTGTGCGTGAGAAAATTTAAATGCACGAAAACGCAGCAACAACGCAAAATAATGTTAGCCAGTGGGTCTCACAAACGAAATTATTGATTAGCTGGAATTACTGTTCTAGTCGATAATTGGCTTGTTTCAGAACTATTTTTCAAGAGCAAAAGCAACAAAACATGAATTGAACCATTTTAATTTGCGATTGAAAATGCGCGACAGCTAAACGGTAATTCCTTCTCACTCGCACAAGCAGCTGACAGCAGTGTGACCGCGGATTTATCGACAAAATATACCGCCTGACTCTCTAAAATATACCATCTCATTTTCAACATTTACCGTAAATATACCGCATCCTAAATCAATTTACTTAATTTTTATGTTCTACTTAACATTACTTGTTAGTTAGATCTTTCTAAAGTAGAAGTATAACTTTATTCGATTCATTCATCAATTGTCTGTGGGCTGACAGTTTTAGATTGTCAATAATATGAACAAGAATATCCAAAACCGGGGAAGTAGATTTCCGATCATGAACACACATCGTATGTTCACAGTATGTTTTGAAAATGAGACGGAATATTTCGGTATTTTTATCGATAACTCCGCGGTCACAATGAACACACGTGCGTTACTCGGACTTGATTTTATTTAATTTGCTAATTTCCAACTGAAAAGATGCCAGCAGCAGTGGCTACAGGTGTGCAGATAAACGGGCCATTGAAGAACAAGAAGATTGTGTTTGACGATGCAGGAGAGGCAGTGTCCAAGCCCAACAAAGAGAAACAAAAGAAGCAGTTGCAGGCACCAACACAACGCAATGGCCAGGTGAAGAAACCCCAAAAGATAAAGTTTGGAGATGGCGGCGAAGTCGAGGAGCAGAAACCGCGGAAGAAAAACCACCAAAAGGAGCACGGAAATAGTTTCCAAGGGAAGAAACCCCAGAAGATAAAGTTCGGAGATGACGGCGAAGTCGAGGAGGAGCAGCAGCCGTGGAAGAAGAGCCACCAAAAGGAGCGTGGCAATAGCTTTCAAGGTGGGAAGAAACCCCAGAAGATAAAGTTTGGAAAAGACGGCGATTTCGAGGAGGAGCAGCAGCCATGGAAGAAGAACCACCAACAGGAGAACGGAAATGGCTACGAAAAGGCAAAGAAACCACAGAAAATAAAGTTTGGCGATGACGGCGAAGCGGCTGAGAAGACCAAGAAGCCACAGCGTATAAAGTTCGATGAAGATGGGGCAGAGAAGAATGCCTCGGACTCCGATGAAGACAGTGAGGACGAGCTAGAGCAAAAGGCTAGCTTCCAAAAGCGGACCAAACACCAGACGCAGGCTGACGAGGAGGAGGAGTCTCAGAAAAAGTGGTACCATGTGGTATGTTGGGCCCAAAATATGTATAGCATGTTCTAAATATTGACTATTCCCTTTTTAGCATCCGGATTACCCCAGCAGCGAGGAGGTTCTGGACATGAAGGACAACGAGCAGCTGGAGTTGTTTAATCTCTGCAAAAATGCTTTCGAGGCGGATAAAGTGACGTTTAGCAGGCGTAAGTTATTCCCAAATTCCTCTGTTGCCTCCAGTTATAAGTATTATTATTTCCACAGGCAATCCCTCGGATGTCCGCTGGCTGCAAACGGCCCTCCACAAAGGCACAGCCAAGGATCGTGCCAATTCCGGAGCCCTGCTGGTGACTAGCAATCCCCTGGGCAACCTGGAAGCCTTGTCCACGCTCATTAGCTTTTGCAAGATATCCAACAAGGCCAGCAACGATGTGATCGCTGTTCTTACAGACCTGTGGCAGGAGGTGCTCCTACCGCCCAACAGGAAGCTGTTGTCGATCCACACACGCGGAGCAGACTGGAAGAAGCTGCGAAAGGATGAAACGCTGCGCGAACAGCAGCAACGGCGCATCTATTCGTATTGGTATTTTGAGAACGAGCTGAAGGACCAGTACCACGAGTTTCTCAAGAATGTGATGCAGGGTCTACAGACGGGACAGGAACACAACAAGAATGCTTCCATTGTGGCAGCGGCACGCCTGCTCGCGTACGCTCCAGAGAAGGAACAAATGCTGCTCACAATGCTGGTGAACAAGCTCGGCGATCCCATTGCCAAAATAGCTTCCAAGGCGCTGCATCACCTCAGCGACGTGGCTCAACGGCACCCCAACATGTGCGGCGTCATTGTGGCCGAGGCGGAGAAGCTACTTTTCCGTAACAATATCTCGGAGCGAGCGCAGCATTTTGCCCTATGCTTCCTGTCCAGCATTGCACCCTCCGGACGGCCGGAGGTGTGCACCAAGTTGGTAAACATTTGCTTTGCCCTGTTCAAGGTTCTCGTGCAGAAGGGAGCCGTCAACAACCGCACCATGCAGGCCATTTTGAGATGCCTGCAAAAGGCCATTGCGGAGGCCCAGCCTGCAAACGGCAGCAATGGGGAGATACTCAACAAGGAGATGCAGGACACCATCTACCGGCTCGTCCACTTGGCCGACATACGAGTCTCCGTGCAGACACTTGGCCTCCTGCTGCAGCTGGTCACAGTGAAAACGGAGAAATCGGATCGATTCTACAATGCTCTGTACGTGAAACTGTTGGACCTGAACCTCATCAATGTGGGAGGAAAGACAGCGGCACAGCTCCTTCACATTGTTCACCGTGCCATCCACATCGACAGCCATGTGGCCAGGGCCCAGGCCTTTGTGAAGCGTCTCCTCCAGCTGACACTGTACGCACCTCCCCAAATTGCCGCTGGCTGTCTGATTGTCCTGCACAAGTTGCTGCGCATGCGGAATGAGCTCATCGGAGGCATTGGAGTAACCGATGAAGTGAGTTCCTTAAAGACCGTCGCGCCAGAGGACGGAGACCTGGACAGGTTTGGCAGCGATGCCGAAGACGAGGTCAAGGAAGAAGACGCGGTCAAGGAAGAAACCGACGAGGCTGCAACGCCGAAGGTGGCAAAGACAGAAGTTGCCAAGTCGAAGGTGGTCAATATCGATTCCTGCAAATACGATCCGTATCATCGTGTGCCCGCCTTTGCCGGAGCAGCCTACACTCTGCGCCATGAGCTGCTGCTGCTGCGTCAGCACTACCATCCCACGGTCCAGGTCTTTGCCGAACAGATACTCGAACGTGAGCAGCAAATTTCCATTTTCTTTCATAGCTTACGTCCCTTTTATCCCCTGCAGAAAAACGCATCGACTACTATGGTGATCCGCTGCGTGATTTTGGACTGCCGCATTTCCTAGAGCGTTTCGCCTTCAAGAATCCCAAGAAGTTGGAGGCACCGCAGGCGGAGAGCGTGGCTGTGGCCCACAAGCGTTATATGGCTCAAGGAGGTCGCGGCAAGCCAGTCAAGTCGCTGACGAAGGCCAACTGCACGGAGGATGAGATGTTCATTCTCAACTTCTTGGAGCACAAGCGCAGGCAGGCCGAGATTGTGGCCCAGAATAAGAAGCAGAGGGAGGTGAAGAAGGATGACGATGATGGAGAGCAGGGCGGGGAGTACCTGAAGGAGGGCGAAGTAGATGACGACGAGTTCGAGGAGTATCTGGATGGTTATTTTGGCAAGAAGTTCAAAGAGGGCGCCGATGCCGAAGAGGATGAGAATGAACTTAACTTCCTCGAGGAGCTCGGCGGCGAGTTGCAGTCGGAGAAGTCCAAAAAGAAGGACAAGAAGAAGACGCAGGGAGCCGACAAGCATGAAGAAGATATGGAAGAGATCGACGACGACTGGGGCGATGACAATCTGGCGGAAGAGGATGATGAAGATGATGAAATGACGGGAGCCGGCGCAGATCAGTCTGACGATGAGACCGGATCAATTGACTTGCAGCCCCTGGACGATGACGATGATGACGACGACGATGAGGGTTCAATTTCCGAAGTCGATCAAGCCTCCAATGCAGATGACAGCGATTCCAGCGATGCACCTGAGAGCCCAGACGACGATGATGATGATGACGAGGATTCGCCACCCAAGTCGAAGAAATCGCGCAAGGAGGAAGTCAACATGGTGGGCGGACGCAGCTTCGCCAAGACCCTAAAACAGAGCCACGGTAAGAGATTTGCAGCTTTCGAGCCGCTCATATGTTCATTCTATTTTCTCCTTGCAGATATGTCCTCGCTGTTTGCCGCTGCGGATGAGTTCTCCTCCCTGATGGAGGAAACGGCCAAGGTCAGGGGACAGGGCACCAGCAACGCCGTCTACAACAAGGACAAATCCTCCGACAAGCAAATGAAATGGGAGGAGAAGCGCCGCTCCAATACGAAAACGTACACAGGCAAAAGATTTTCCGGCAAACCAGCGGCCAAAGGTGGCAAGCCACAGCAGAAATCAGGCAAGAAGCGCAAGCATTAAAAGCTGCATGGACTAAAGATCCCCAGAGGAGATTACACAAACTACCAACAGCAGCAATAAATAATGTAATTTTCTATAAGTTAAAGAAGTCTTTGAATGGGGTAAATGGGTGCTGGAGAGGAATAAGTAAATTAAATAATGAATAACGTACCCGCCGTCAGTTTTCCTTCAAAATGGATGCCTCACACTATCAAAGCTGGCTGCTATGAAACGTCCAGTGTTGTTTAGCGCATTTCGTCAGCTGTTTCAGAAAAGTAAACAAAATTTTACAGCGCATTGTTTGTACGTACAACACAAAATATATAATATAGGCCGGGCGTGGAGAAAGATCATATACATAGGAGCCTCCGAGCTGGTTAGACTGGAAAGACATTTCGAGATCGAAGTGCACGCGTGTAATACATGATTGGTGCCATAAATATCAGAGACAATATCAATAAACGAGTATGCTGCCGTTGCCCGCCCGCCAGGAGGATTATTCGAGTGCCTTCTGCGACTGCAGCTTTCCCAACTGTATTGAGGTGACTAACCATAAGGGACTCATACCAGATCTGGTGAAGTGTCGCTGCGGCGAGGATATCGAGGGCAATGTCCACCCGTGGAGGTGGCATCAATCCGAAGAGTCGGACGCGCTCATCAATGACCGGGACATTGTGTTCCATCCCACCTTCAGCCAGGGCACGACGATAGTGCGCGGCGATCGACCTTTAAAACCGGGCATGGTGCACTTCTGGGAGATGCGCGTCATCACAGCGCTGGCCGGAACAGATGTGGTGAGTCTTTACATCCAGATCCAGATGATCCCCTGGCTTGGCAACTAGCGTGGATGAATGTCAGTCAAAGTCGCTGATAGGAAGATTCCCGAAATAGAACATAGCCAGAGCCACAGTCACACGCTGGGTTGTGTTGATCTCGCTCCACTCTCCATCATTCTGTGGATTACAGATTACAATGCACGGCACGGCACGGCATTGATAAGATAAGAAACGAAGGAAGAGTGCATATGAGGAAATCTCTATACACAGACCATAGCCCACAGCCCAACTATGTAGCTGATAAGCAGCACAAAAGTTCAATGTAAACAATCTCGTTTCCCCTCTTTCCCATAGATGTTCGGCATAGGCACGGAGAATGTTAATCTGGGGCAATTCAAGTTTCACTTTGTCTCTGCTTTGGGCACCAATGCCCAGTCCTGGGGCTTCTCCTACTCTGGCAAGGTGCAGCATTGCGGCGAGCAGCTGCCCTACGGCCAAAAGTTCTCCCAGGGCTGCCTGATCGGTGTGCAGCTGGATCGTACGCGTGGCCATCTGGAGTTCTATCTGAATCGACGGTCACTGGGAGTGGCCTACACCAATGTGCCCATGGATCCTGATGTTCGCATATATCCCATGGTCTGCTCGACGGCTGCCAAGTCCGTGATAAGGCTGATTAATTGCACATCCCAGCCGGTCACGCTTCAGTTGCGATCCTTTCAGGCACTGTCCAAACAGCCGCAGATCCTCTCCGAGCTTCGTCAAATGCCAGGACTGAAGGGCATCCTGCGCTCGTACTGGTTCCTGGCTCCGCCAGTGCGTTATTCACGCAGATCGCAGGAGAACGAGCTGGATCTGGGCGATGAGGCGGTGCTATCCAGTTCCAAGCTGCGTCTCGGCCGCAAGCACAAGTACAGAGGTAAGCGTTGATGTTTCCACTCCACTGAGCAGCTCACTCAATCGTCTATTTATAGAAACTGACGATGCAAGCATTGACGAGGAGGACTTGTATGCCAATGCCCACAAGATTCCACTGCGGCGTAATGACAGCGGCGATGAGGAGTGCAGTACCGGCACTGGTGCCACTTCGGTCCACGATCTGTGCGACGAATACTTCCATTACTTGCTCTAGAAATATGTTAGTTATGCATTTATTTATAGTAATTATATATATGTATATAGTACTGCTGTTTGAGAATGAACTTTTGGTACTAAATGAAACGCGACAAAAAGGAGACTTAAACTGAACGCCTGGGCTGGGTTTTGCTTACTTTAGGATAGGGTAGATAGATAGATCGATAGATAGATATATGGATGTGAGAACTGGTAGAGTCAAGCTTCCTCTATCAGTTGTCATACCCATAATTCTGTGGGTCGGACGCGGAACCTAATAACTAAACTAAAAATTGCTCACATCGAACGCTTGAACCACGCTCGAACGCTTGAAGATCAGACCCAGCGGCAGCTAGTCCATGTCATCGTCATCGTCGTCCGATATGGTGTACTTCTTCTGTGCCCGCTTGCGGCGTGTTTGCTTCTTTGATGTTGTGGCCGCACCACTGCTCACATTCGTCGATGGCTGTGTGGGCGTTGAGGGGGCACTGGCCAGAGATTTGTTCAGTTTCAGCTTCATTTTAACTGCCGCCGCCGATGTAGTTGCAATCTCCTCATCGTCGGAGCCATCGTCCCCACCATCATCGTCATCGTTGTCCGAATTGTCGGAGCCACCGCCACCTCCTCCATTGCCGTGCGCCTCGCCCGTGTTGTCGCCGGAGGCCACAGCAGCAGCATCGGCGGCTGCCGTCACCTTTTGCCTGGCGCCCACAAATATCTTCTGCAGTGCAATCGAGTCCAGGTAGATGAGCGAGGCCTCCTCGTTGTAGATCTGGGCATTCTGGCACAGCTGCATAAAGTCCTTCTCCAACTCATTGAGATCCGCGTACTTGCAGTCCTCGATGCGCTGCAGAATCTTCTTTATGTCTACTGGCCGCTTGATGATGTCGTAGTAGTCGGGCAACCGCTGACGCGAGGGCAGCTTCATAAACGGCTCGGAGAGCGTGCGCCCATCCTGGGTGACCTTGATGACTGCATTCATGATCTTGTGCATCTGCTTCTTGGCGCGCTTGTCCAGATTCTGGCGCCGACGACGCTTGAGAATGAGAGAATCGTCGTCGGATTCCTCCTTGCGATTTTTGCGCTTGCGACGCTTGCGCTTGGAGTCGTCCTCTTCCTCCTCCTCCTCGAATTCAGCGCCCTCGTCGATAGCCTTTAGCCACTCCTTCTCGGTGAGACTGTCCGTGTAGTCCACTTCCTTGCGCTGTCGCGAGCCTCGACCTACAAACAGAAAGCATCGTTAGAGAATAGCTTGAAAGGTTGTATAAATAAATGCTTACCCAGAATGGTGTCCTCGTCGTATTGATAGTGGAAGCGTTCGACTTCCTCATCGTCCTTGGTCAGCCAGTCGGGCAGCTCGGACTCGTCGATGAGACGCTCCCTGCCCGGATGGATTTCATCGTCCTCCTTCTTGCGATCAATGTCCATGCGCTTGAAGATCTCAATCTCCTCCTCGCTGCGGGCAATCATCATGTTGATCATTTCGTCGTCGGGCACCTCGTTCTCCTCCTCTTCCTCGTTGTCGTCCTGATGCAGGATCGTCTGGAGGAACTGCTGCCGCTCGCTGCCTGTCGACTTCTGATCGAACATGCCCGCCTGAATGACCTTCTCGTCCATGTTCAGCTTGTACCTGGCCGCGGCCAGAATGCGTTCCTCCACCGAATTGACCGTCATGAGGCGCAGCACACGCACCTCATTGCGCTGCCCAATACGATGGGCACGATCCTGGGCCTGCAGATCCTGATGGGGATTCCAATCGGAATCAAAGATCACCACCGTGTCGGCTGTCTGCAAATTAAGACCCAGGCCACCGGCGCGTGTGGACAGCAAGAAGACGAAGATGTCCGATCCCTTGGCATTGAACTTGCGCAACAGTTCGCCACGATCCTCCGCCTTCGTGGTGCCGTCCAGTCGCAGATAGCCAAACTGGCGCCAGCTGAGATAATCCTCGATGATGGTCATGCACTGGGTCATCTGACAGAAGAGCAGCACCCTGTGATTGGTGGCCTTCAGCTTTGGTAGGATGCGATCGAGCAACTCGAATTTGCCCGAAACGCGATACAGATCCGGACCTAAAGAAACAGCATTAAAAAGGGGAACAATTCCAGCAGCTGTAAAGATTCCTGCTTACCTGAGACGACGCCATGGCCACCTGTGTGGTCGCAATACTTCTCCTCGATGGCCTGGAACATGAACGGATGATTGCACAGCTTACGCAGCTGTACAATGGTGTTCATCAGAGCCTTGGCCCCGCCCTTGCCGTGCTTGCCCTTTTCGGAGCCATCGGTGAGCAGGACTCCCTTGCTCTGCATGTGCTTGTAGAGGACACGCTGCAGCGCCGACATGTCGCACTTGATGATGTACTCGACCTTGTCGGGCAGCTGGTGTTCCACCTCCTTTTTGAGGCGACGCAACAGGAAGGGGCGCAGCACCTTGTGCAGACGTCGAATGATCAAAATGGTCTCCTCCTCGTTCAGTTCAACCTTCTCGCCTGTGGTGGCAAAGGGGGCATTGAACCACTGCTCAAAGGTGGAGCACGACTTGAAGATCGAGGGCAGCAGGAAGTTGAGCAGTGCCCACAATTCGGGCAGTTTATTCTGCAGCGGTGTGCCCGTGAGCAGCAGCCGATACGGGGCAATGTAGTGGGTGTTCAGCACCTGGGTGAGCTTGCAGTGATGATTCTTCATGCGATGACCCTCGTCGATGATCATGTACTTCCACTGAATCTTCGCCAGCACCGCCTTGTCCTTGATCACGTACTCGTATGTGGTCAGTAGCACATTGAACTTGGTGGCGCGCATCTGGTTCTGCAGCAGCCTGCGTCCCTGGGGGCTGCCTTTGTAGCTGACCACGCTGACGGCGGGTGCCCACTTCTCGAACTCGAGCACCCAATTGGGCAGCGTGGACAGCGGCACGATGATCAGGAAGGGGCCCATCACCTTCTTGCGGTCCATCAGATACGTGACAAGCGAAATCGTCTGAATGGTCTTGCCCAGACCCATCTCATCGGCCAGAATGCCGTTCAGGTTGTTGTTGTAGAGCGAAACGAGCCACTCGAGACCCTTGATCTGGTACTCCTTCAGCTGTCCGTTGACCATAATGGCCGCCTGCTCGTACACCTTCTCGTGTATGGTGTGCGCAATGCTGTAGTATGTCTGCTCCTCCGTCTTGTATTCATCGTCCTCCACCTTGGCCTGCGTCATCAGATCCTTGGGACCATCATCGCCCGGTTGCGGTGGCGCCGCTGACTTGTCGGTGACATCTTCGGCTGACTGTGGCGGCTGCTCCTCCAGCTTTGGCTTGTGGTCTTCATTGATGGTGCCCATGGAACCACCAATGCCGCTGCCATCATCATCATCGTCTATCCAATCCCAGCCAGGATGCATGCTGAGCCAGCGATACAAATGCTTCAGCATCGGGGCATCATCGCCGGTTAGCTTTTTGCCCGTGCACGGTTCGATGACATTCACCCGCATATCGGCCACAATGCTGCTCTCATCGATGCCAATGTACTCGCCGCTCATCAGCAGCTCCTTCTTGTACAGCTGCAGCCGTTTGCCCTCCTCCTCCTTCTTCTTCATCTGATCATCCTTGTGCTGCTTCACCATCTGCGTGAGATTGCTGATGTACTCGTCCGTCTGGGACAAAAGGAAGGCCAGACGCTTGTCCTTCTTCTGATCAATCAGCTTGCGGTAACCCTCCTCATCCTCGGCCATCAGGCGCCGCATACGCTCCTTCTCAATGCGCTCCTGTTCCTTCTTCTGCTCACGCTCGGCATTCGCATGGTAATTCATCACCGACTTGTTCATCCTCGCCAGCTGAGCCTGCAATGGGGATAAGGATTAGCTAATATTTAAATGGACATTCTCATCAATCACCTTATTGTTCCTGTGGTACTCCCTCAGATCCTTGCCATGCTGCAGCACCGCAGCCAAGAACTCCAGATGCTTCTGCCTGCGCTTACGTTCAGCCTCCAGCTTCTGTTGCTTTTCCAGCTTCTCCGTGGCACGCGCCTCCCGCAGACCCTGCCGCTTGGTCCGCTTGTAGAACTTGATGTTGAGCGCCGTCTCCAGGGTGGTGTCTCGCCTGGTGCACTGCACAAACTCCATGCGCAACTGCCTCTGAAAGTTGAGCACTCGTAGCGCTCTCAGCTCGATGGCTGCCTGAATGCGCAAATCGTCGGACATGGTGGCGGGCAGACGCTGCAGCTCCTGCATTCGTAGGGAGATTCTGGCCGCAATGCGGTTCTCCCGCTCCTGCAGCAACGTGATGGGGTCCAGACCCACCGGCTTGGCCACAGTCGTCACACGATTGGGCTTGGGCATCGGCTGATGCTGGCCGGGCGGGGCTCCCGGTCGCGGTGGGCCTCCTGGCTGAGGCACCTGTGCACCTGGCGGCATGCCAGGTGGAGCACTCCTCACCTGTGGCTGCTGTTGCTGCTGCTGCATGGGAGATGGGGGTATCAGTGGCTGACCGCCAGCTGGTCCCATGGACAAGGGCTTGCCTCCGTTCGGTAGCTGATGCTGCAGTTGCTCCGGCGGTGGCTGCTGCTGTTGCTGCTGAGGTGGCGGCTGTTGCGGAGGCGGCGGCTGCTGGGGCGGTGGTCCTCCAACAACCGGAGGTTGTGGCGGCAGTGGCTGTCCCTGTTGCATGTGCGGCGGTGGAGGAGCCGCCTGCAGTTTCTGGCCGGGCACTGGCTGCCCGTACGGAATAGTGGCAGGCGGTGTGGAGCATTGCGGCGGCGTTCCCGTCACTGGCGGCGTCTGCTGCTGCTGTTGTTGCTGCTGAGGTGGAACTGGCGGCTGGCCGGGATGCTGCTGCTGCTGCTGTGGCCCCGGCGGTGGTCCTCCCGGAGCACCCGGTGGCCCAATCGGTGGCCCTGGCGGCGGTTGCTGCTGGGCCGCCTGCAGCGCCTGCTGCATATGCATGGATATGGGCTTATTCCGCGCCAGCATCCGATAGGCAGTGATCTGTGTGCGCAACAAATTGACCTGATTGCCATTCAAATGCTGATGCTTCGAGGTGGCACGCATGGCCAGCAGCTGCGAGTAGCGCGGATCCTCCTGCAGTCCCTTCTCCTCCATCGAATCGATGGCACGCTGCAGTGCGTGCAAATTCTCCTGACTGGAACGCTCTGGCGGCGGTGGTCCACCCGGAGGTCCACCAGGAGATACAATGCAGGGTTGTGTGCCTGGTGCCTGAAAGAGAAAATAATAAAATATCGGTTATTAGGTATCCATTAAAGCTTTCCCATTACCCGTTCCACTTATAATACAACTTAAATTCAAAAGCAACTAAATGGGAAAAAAGCTTCCAGTGGCACAAACCCGTTCGACTGGCGTTAGATTTTGTCTGCTTGCTGCTTCCCAGTGCCTGATTCACACGCAAGCAAGTCAGAACAAAGCGCAATCTCTCAAGACAGCAGATAACAGACACACATTCACATAAAGACAGCGAAACATTAGAGATGTCGGCAAGCAGGGAGCTAATTGAGGAGCTCTACGACTTCATCCATCCGCTGGCTGTGCGTGCGGGCGAAATACTGCTCGAGGGCTATGAGAATGCGGGCAAGGCAGTGTCCCTCAAGGACGGGGAATTCTACAATGTGGTGACTGCCTATGACAATCAGATAGAGGAGTTTCTCATGGAGCAGATCCTTGCCAGTTATCCGGATCACAAATTCATCGGGGAGGAGGACACGCACAAGAACAACAATGTGACCAAGGAACTGACAGATGCGCCCACCTGGATCATAGATCCAATTGATGGCACATCGAATTTCATCAAACAAATTCCCCATATCTCTGTCTCCATTGGCCTGTCCATCCACAAACAGATCGTGCTGGGAGTGGTCAACAATCCTGTCCAGAAGAAGCTCTACACCGCCAAGCTGGGACAGGGCGCCTTTTGCAATGGCCAGGCCATACATGTGAGCAGCTGTGAGCATCTTAATAATGCCAATGTCGGGTACGAGGTGTGTCTGCTGCACGCCCCAAAGATCCGGAATAAGCACATCAAGCGCATCTATCACGTGGGTTCAAATGCCAGACGGTAAGCAAGACCTGATCTTCTTTTTTCTATTCATCCTTTATGCTTTACATTTGAACAGCCTTCTGGCCTACTCGGCTGTAGTGGATTCCCTTTGCATGGTTGCCGCCGGCAATCTGGATGCCTTTCACATTGAGGACATGTATCCCTGGGACTGTGCCGCAGGCTATTTGCTTATTCGTGAGGCTGGCGGTGTGGTAACCCATCCCTATGGTGGACCCTTTAAGATCATGAAACCAGATCTTATATGCGCAGGCACCGAGTCGCTGCGTGCGGAGATTGAGCAGCTCATACGCAAGGCGGATCAGGAGAAGCATGTGGGTGGAGATAGCGCATAATGACATTGAAGAAAAAGAATAAATTATGCAAAATTATGGGGAGCTTCTCTAAATGTGCTTATCACTTTTCATCATTATTCTGTGCATTATTTTCTGTAAACAGAAATGATGGATGCTAGGTATAACAATCTGTTTGCTTTGGTAATCTGCATTACGTCTTGGCAACACTTTTGTTTGCTCTCCACAGTCGATTAACTGTTGCATTTCAAAACCACATGCAGAGCAACTGTATCGCTTATCGTTTCTCCTTCTCTTTTCTTCTCTTGGCAAAAGTTCAAAGTTCTAGTTAATGGAAAAAAGCTTGTAGAAAAAAGCTTTGCAGTTTACAGCTGTTTCTTTGCGCCCACACATTTAAGTTAGTCGAAAGACAGCAGCCGCCGCCATCACAATGAGTAACCCCCCCATCTGCGAGTCCAAGCTTAAGGAGTACTACGATGTGGCCCTCAAATTGGTGCTAAAGTGTGGACCACTTATGCAGGAGGGCTATCAAAAGGCGAAGACCGACTTCAAGGTCAAGTCGGACTTTTACGATTTGGTCACCGTGTACGACAAGCAGATTGAAGACATTCTCACCGAGGGACTGGTGGCAGCCTTTCCCGAATCCCTCATCATTGGCGAGGAGGAATCAGCGGCCTCGAAGCGTCAGGCTGAGCTGACGGACGCGCCCACCTGGATCATAGACCCCATCGATGGCACCACGAATTTCATACACAGAATACCACATTGTTGCATCTCCGTCGGCCTGGCCATCAACAAGGAGCTGGTAGTGGGCATCATCTACAATCCACCGGCAAATGAGCTGTTCTCCGCCTCGAAGGGCCATGGCGCCTTCCTCAATGGCGAGCCCATAAGCACTTCCAATGTGACGACGGTGAGACAAAGCTTATATAATGGCGAATGGTGAATGGGGAACGTTACCACAAGCGAGATAAACAAGTCAAAAAATAACTGTGCATGCACCACACTCCCTCGCTCGACCTTGATTTAGTTGTACTCGCGCGCAAGTGAGAGCATTATTAGCATTCATTAGCGTCGTTCTCTTCTCTCATATTGCAAAAGCTCTCTCCTTGCCTCAACTCTTTCTCACATTTATCCTCTCTTTTGCAGATCAATCAAGCTGTGATTGCCTACGAAATCTCTTTGATTCATGCTGCCGCCGTGAGGGACAAGAACGTGAAGCGTCTGTACAAGTTAGCTTCAAATGCCACGGGAACGCGTTGCTTCGGCAGTGCAGCTCTGACCCTCTGCTACGTGGCCACCGGGCAGTGTGACGCCTACCATGTGGAGGATCTAAAACCCTGGGACATAGCTGCCGGTGCTATTATTCTCACAGAAGCCGGGGGCATAGTTTGCCACACAAATGGCGGAAAATTCGATGTGATGAAGCCAGATTGCGTGTGCGCCTGCACGGAGGAGTTGGCCAAGAATGTGATTAGCCTTATCGAGGAGGCAAATCAGATTACGGGCTACACGTTCAAGTAAAGTGCCAGAGACAACAAAAAACAATATATCTTTTGTAATCAAAATGTAGAATCCTTTAAATAGCGAGAGCAGAGATTAGAGTAAACATTCAAATAAATACAACAAATAATCATTCCCATTTTCGACTGGAACTATTTCTGGGAAAAAGCTCAAGTAAAAGCTTTGCTAGAGCAGCTGTCGATGGAAAAAATATTAGTACGCGACCGGCTGAGACATGAGTAACCAACTAATTAGTGAACTAAAACTCCAGGAATACTATAAAGTGTCCCTGGAGCTGGTCAAAAAATGTGGTCCCCTTTTTCTGGAGGGCTTTCTGAAGCCCAAAACTGATTACGAGGTGAAATCTGCTTTCTATGACTTGGTCACCGTCTACGACCAAGAGATCGAGGTGACTCTCACAGCTGGTTTGCTCAAGGCCTTTCCCGAGTCTCGTATTATTGGCGAAGAGGCGCTATCAGTATCTCAGGCTCAAGCAGAACTAACAGATGCCCCCACCTGGATCATAGACCCCATCGATGGGACAAACAATTTCGTTCGCAAAATCCCCCACTGCTGCATCTCCGTGGGCTTGGCCGTCAACAAGGAGCTGGTGGTGGGCATCATCTATAATCCGTCGACAAGTGAATTGTATTCCGCGTGGAAGGGCCACGGAGCCTTCTTGAATGGTCAACCTATCAGCGTAGCCTCCGGCGTAGTCTCGGTAAGCGGCGGCAGCAATTAAGAGAGTGATGGATAAGAGCCATTCTGACTAGCACATTTATATCTTCTCTTTTGCAGATCCAACAGGCTATTGTGGGCTTTGAAATGTCTCTAATCGTTGTGGCCAAGGGACGGGATAAAAACGTAAAGCGTCTGGGAAAGCTAGCATCGAATGCCACTGCGTAAGTCTCTGGTCTTCTGCACTGATCTATTATTGTTGATCAATTTTCTCCCCATCAGCACTCGAAGTTTTGGCAGCGCAGCTCTGACGCTCTGCTATATAGCCAAAGGATGCTGTGATGCCTACCATGTGGAGAATCTAAAGCCCTGGGATCTGGCCGCTGGTGCAATAATTCTCACTGAAGCGGGTGGCAGAATCTACCACACCAGTGGCGGTAAATTTGAGGTGCTGCAACCGGACTGTGTCTGCGCTTGCAGCGAAGAACTGGCACAAGATGTGATCCAGTTGATAGCGGAGGCCGATCGGATAACGGAATATACGTTCCAGTGAGCATAACAATAAAATGTACACAAAAGATGAGCCTGCTCCTGATTGTTGGATTGTTGACTCCCTCTCTAATGTTAGTAACCTCCAGTTGGAAAAGATCATTCACGACAGAGACGACACGGGACTGACGGACTGATAAAAACTGGTTTTACAACTGTCTGTAAGATAAAAGCATATATTTGTGTACGTAAGTACGTTCATCAAACAAATTGAGATAAAACAGTGACTGGAACTGGCACAGAGGCACACAGGGGAGATGCCAATTTTGAGTACAAGCTTCGGGCTATCATAAAACTCAATGCAGTCAACCGAGCAGCAAACAATCAAAGCTGCGAGAAGACAGAGACAATTGTGTCTGCTAAATATAATCAAAGCTCCTCCCCACACAATGTCAGCACCACCTCCAGCCAGCCAGCCCTCCTGGCCTATCGCTTTGTAGCGTGAATATCTGATTAGTTGGCAACGCAAGCTGAGCGACGAAGCAACGGACGAACGAGTTTACGCGTACATAGAAAATGTCATCGGCAGTGGAGGGGAAGCAATCGGATGTTGTGGAGGAGTTGTACAACTTCATCTATCCACTGGCCGTGCAGGCGGGGGAGATCCTGATGGAGGGCTACGAGCGTACCAGCAAGAATGTCTCCATTAAGGGAGACTTTTACGATGTGGTCACCGATTATGACAACAAAATCGAAGACTTTCTGATGGAGCAGATACTGGCCAGATATCCGGATCACAAGTTCATTGGCGAGGAAGAAACGGCAAAGAACAACAATGTGTCCAAGGAACTGACAGATGCGCCCACCTGGATCATAGATCCCATCGATGGCACATCGAATTTCATTAAACAAATTCCCCATGTCTGTGTCTCCATTGGCTTGTCCATCAACAAACGGATTGTGCTGGGTGTCATTAACAATCCTGCCCAGAAGAAGATCTTCACAGCCAAACTGGGACAGGGCGCCTTCTGCAATGGCAAGCCCATTCGTGTGAGCAGCTGCGAGAGCATCAATGATGCCAATGTCGCCTATGAAGTGTCTCTGCTGCACGTCCACTCTGTCGCCAACAAGCACATCAAACGGATCTACCATGTGGGACTGAATGCCAGACGGTGCGTGGAAGCAAAACCCCACTAATGCATCTCTTTAAAAGTGAATTTCTTTCCTCTAGCTTGCTGGCCTATTCCTGTGTGGTGGATGAGCTGTGCATGGTGGCCGCTGGGAATCTGGACGCATTCTACATTGAGGACATGTATCCCTGGGACTGTGCTGCTGGTTCCCTGCTAGTGAGTGAGGCGGGGGGCGTGGTCACGCATCCCTTTGGCGGACCCTTCGATATCATGAAGCCAGATCTGATCTGTGCCGGCACAGAGACGTTGCGCAAGGAAATCGAAGATCTGTTGCGCAAGGCCGACCGGGAGGAGTCGGTGGGGGGTGTGGAAGTTAAAAAGTAATTTAAGCATCGCACATTCCACAATAAATTGTTTGCAAAAAGATCGATTGAAATTTAAAGAGCTTAAATGTCGCCTCGATATTAATTGAAAGCTCGCCGATGCGTAAAGCTTTTGGAGATCACCGGCGTTTTCTTAGAGACAATAAACAAAATAATTTTGGCGCCATACAGTACATGCGAAGATTTCACTCATCCCGGGGGAGGAGCGTGGTTTAAACTTACATTGGGAGGCATTCCGTGTGTCTGATATCCGAGGGGGGACATATTAGGTCCCGACGGCGGCATCTGCATACCCATGTGCGGACCTTTTGAGAAAACTACAAATGATTATGCGTGATGGACAATAGGTGTGTGTAGAGAGGAGGGGGGCATATCAATAACATACTCATTCCCTGATGATGTGGCGGCATATGATGTGGAGGTGGTCCCTGACCCGGTGGTCCATGCTGCATCGGATGTCCGTATGCGGCTGGGTGGCCCGGTGGCGGGGGCCCTTGCATGTGGGGTGGTGCTCCAGGCGGTGGCCCTTGCGGTGGCCCCGGCTGCTGGTGCGGGTACGGACTGTGTGGCGAGGGGGCCGGACTCTGTGAGGGCGGTGCCATCGGGCTGGGTGCCTGCGGTGGCGGCATGGGACTATTCGCCGGCGAGGGCGAGGCCATTTTCACTTCGGGTCTCCTGTGTGGTGTGCGGGGGTAGTGCGAGGGCGCCGATTATGTTACAAAACTAGCTGGTGGTGCACCGACACCTAAAAGTGAAAGCTAAATGCACATTTGAGTTGTTATTGCACATTTCATTGTTTAAAAACAAATATGAATATCTTTTAGAGGAGCATATCTAATCGCATCATTGTTTTTCACTCGCTTTTTGTCACACTTTTTGCGCAGTCTGTGTTCGACTTTGCACAATTGGTAGACTTGCACACATTAACGCCGGTTTGTTGGTATAGCTTGTGTGCCACTTGAAATACACTACATCCAGCACCGAATAGCATTATTTTGGCATAATAACATTACCAATTACCTATTTGAAGTTTTTCTTGAGCGACGCGAGCAAAACTCTAATGGCGGACGTCTCCAGTGTGACTGTGGGCTTGTCGGTAAAAATATACCGGATTACCCTAAAAAATATACCGTTTATTGTTCAAATGTATGTTGCCAAATGCAAATTTTGGGAAGGAATTGTTTTCCTACGGAAAAGACAATTAAATTATTAAATAAATTATAAATTAATGTGTCTTTTGGTTCTAATTTCCTATTATAAACATATTTTTAAAAGAATTCACTGCCGCTCGAAAGTATTTTTATAAAGTCACAGTGAAAATCCCTTGACACGTCATGTTCACGTCAACAGTGAATGGCAAAAACCTCACCATTCTGTCAAAAAAAGTGAAAACAAGATTATTTCGATTTTGTATATTCAATTGTAGAACTAAATACAATTATTTAGGTTAAACATTTAAGCACTTAGAGGCAGCGCCAGCACTAGATAAAGTTGATCTTTAATCATGGGTACGCACAGTGCAGCAGACAACAGCATGTACATCCCCAAAAAAAATCTGGGGACCGGTGACGATGAGTCGTCGTTCGACATCTGTCATAAAAAGTAAAAAAATTATTGTTTTGCAGGTGGGGTGCTAAGCTACTTTCGCGGACTGCTTGGCTCCAGGGAGATGCGCATATTGATACTGGGACTGGATGGCGCTGGCAAGACGACGATCCTCTACAGACTGCAGGTAGGCGAAGTAGTTACGACGATACCCACGATTGGCTTCAACGTGGAGCAGGTGACATACAAGAACCTCAAGTTCCAGGTCTGGGATCTGGGCGGACAGACAAGTATTAGGTGAGTGAAAGATAGTGGAAACCAGAGATAAAACTACGTTAACGTTTTGGTGTTTTTTCTAGGCCCTATTGGCGTTGCTATTATAGCAACACGGATGCCATTATCTACGTGGTGGATTCGGCGGACCGTGATCGGATTGGCATTTCGAAGGACGAGCTGCTGTATATGCTGCGCGAGGAGGAGCTGGCCGGAGCGATACTCGTTGTGTTGGCCAACAAACAGGACATGGAGGGCTGCATGACCGTCGCCGAGGTGCATCATGCGTTAGGGCTGGAGAACCTCAAAAATCGCACATTTCAAATATTCAAAACATCTGCCACCAAAGGCGAGGGCCTCGACCAGGCCATGGACTGGCTATCCAACACTCTCCAGAGTCGTAAATAGTTCTCGTAATCCAGTCACCCCCCCTCAGCCGCCACCTATCAGCCCTACCCCTGTGTAAAAATATTTATCCAAAGCATCGCCAGCCAAGGACTCGTCTACAGCTTTTTTTCAATATTTGCAAATTCGCGCAGAGAAATCCAAGAAACGAAACGAAAGAACTTTGTAATAACTTCTAGTAATATAATTATTAAATTATAGGATTAAACAAGCTTCAAGATTTGTATGCCAGCTGGCAGCTACCATTCGGCCAGGCCAAATCTCAGCACACGCTTCTCCTGGGTGTCCAGCTCCATGCGCACCTTTTGTCTCATGTAAAAGATGGGACAATCGCGATTCGAGCAGATGACCTCCTCGTGCAGCGATCCCTGACACCGCTGGCATTCGGTCCAGAGGCGGGCAAAGGTCTCCTCGAGTCCACGCTTCGCGCCCACCTCCTTCTGGTAGAGTTCACTCATGCGCGGCTCACAGTGCGGGCACAAACATGCCTTCTCATAGCCCTTGGGCATCAGCGTTTTGCAGCCCAGGCATGCAGTCTTTTTGGTCATGAATCCGGCCAGGCCGCCCACCTTCGACGTCACCACAGTGCGGGTGCGTGTGTGCTCGCCCTTGAGCAGGATGGACTCTGCCTTCTCCCCTAGAATCGGCTCGAATATTCTCAGCAGTGGCTTGGAGAGCTGCTGTTCCAAGTAGTAGGTGGCATCAATGGGCACACTGTTCTCCAGGACATACAAAGGATCTTCGGCCTTCTGATAGGCTGGCGTATTCTTGGCCGCCGCACAAATCACATAGGGAACACGATCTCCCAGCTTGGGCGCTGTGCCCGCATCGCGTTTCTTCATTTTGGCAGCCAGCTCCACATGCGCCTGCTTGGCCGCATAATCCGTCTTGGCCAGCTCCTTGGTGATGACCAGCTGGGAGATGTCAATGCGATTGCAGAGCAGATCCGCAATCACCTGCTTGGCATAGGTTACCGCTCCATCTGGGTCGCGTTCAATGAGCAGCTTCTGCAGGCAGGAGTTCATCAGGTTGGCCACCAGCGGCGAGTTGTCCCGCCGCACCGTTTCGATGCCCTTGCAGTCCATCTTGTCGTAGGTCTCTGGCCGCGTGAAATACAGTCCCGCGTAGCGCTTCTTGTTGATCAGCAGATAGGGATAGTAGACCTTCTCGAATTCCAGCTTTATCGGGTGGACGAACTTGGCACTCACCAGCTCGGCCGCCTCCCTGCCCAGCTCCATGCTACGCTCCAGCGTCTTGACGCCAAAATTCACCATCACCGAGTCGGTGTCGCCGTAGATGACAACGGCATCGTTCTCGTAGCCATTGGCGCGGGTGTAGTGAGATTCCACTTCATTCTTGGTCAGCTCAATCATGGTTCTGCCGTACGCTGTGACACTGCCGGAGATCTCCAGGCATGGCAGCTTTCCCACTTGTGCGCCGGTGAAGCCGTACACAGAGTTGGCTGAGATTTTCAGCGCCAACTGCCGGCCATCGAGGACCTTGCGCTTGAATGGATCCGTCTCCACTTTTAGGTCATTCTTGGCCCGCTTTCGGGCAGCCAGCAGGGACTCCAGAATCTCTGGCAGCAGACCTCGACGCACCTCCGACTTGACAAAGTAATTGTTGGCCGGCGTGCGCTCCACTTGCTCATCCTGCAGGCCATCCTTCTCGCGCAGCTTCTCTCGCGTTCCGCCCAGGACCAGGGTGGTGTAGCAGAGATTGTGGGCCATCATGATGCTGGGATACAGCGAGGCGAAATCCAGCGTGGATATGGGATCGGCATAGTAGCCACGCTTCGGCTCGATTACAGTGGCTCCCTCGTACTGCTCGTCCGATCCCTGCGGCGTGTACGAAGGCATTATATAGCCCTTGGTCTTGGCCTTGCGCAGCAGCTGGCTGAGCACTTTGATCTGTTGTCCACGAGTGAGCAGACACTCCAGTGAGACGCCCGTCACCCTGGCCATCTCCATGTAGTTGACTATGGCCATGAGCTTCTCCAGCAGGCGAAGCGGCAGATACGCATCCTTCAGGCAGTACATGGCGAGGCGGCGACGAGTCTGCTCGTCCCCGTTCTGCAGATCCGTGATGATGCTGTGGTGCACATCCTCCTTCTGCTCCTGCAGAAAGTGATAGCTCACCGCGTTGAGGGTGTACGAACGGAGTTTGTATTCCCGCAGCAGGACAAACAGCAGATCGAAGGGCACGCGGCCCTCGAAGTTCACATACTGATTCTCGCGGCGACCCATTTGCTTGGACTGCAGTACCTGCTCCTTGATCACGGAGCGAATGTTCTTGATCCTGCCCAAATACTCGAAATTCTTCACCTTCAGGTGCGCCGCCCGATTGATCAAATAGGGAATGTCAAAGTTGTTGATGTTGTAGCCGGTAAGGATGTCCGGATCTACTTCGCGCACAAACGCTGCCCACTTGTCCAGCAGCTGGTGCTCCTTGTCGTGGCACAGCACCTGGCTGCCAATGATCGGGGCGCACACATTCAGCGTGAAAACATTGCGTATGAAGGGCTCTGGCTCGCCCTGACGTATGACCATGTTGGCGATCTGTATGACGGGATCCATTTTGGCCTCCGGGAAGATGCCCTTGCGTCCAGCGCATTCAATGTCAAAGGATAGAATGCGGAAGGGCGCCACCTTGGACCATTCGCCTTCGGGTTCGTGCGAAATGAACCTGTCGAAGGCCACATCCACCTCAATCTGACAGCGGGACTCGGGAAGCGGCTTGCTGTTGCCTCCCCTCAGTCGCCACTGGCCCTGCGGCAGCTCGATCCAGTTGCAGCCCACCACGCCAGTGTCCACCATGAAGCGTATGTCAAAGTCAATGTTGTTCTCGAAGGCGCGACAGTCCTGGAAGTCAATCTCGGCCATGATCACCTCCTTCTTGAGCAGACGCGAGGCGGCAGCCACAAACCTGGGCAGCGTCACCGTAATCTTGATGTACCTCTGCTTCTGGTCGCCGTTGTAGCCATGAATGTTGAGCTTCTCCACCAACTCCACCATGAGCACTGCCTCCTGGACATTGTCCTTGTTGTTGCGTATATCGGCAATGGTCTTCTGGTCCAGCGCCTTTTGCAGCTTCTCGCAGTGATATTCCTCGAATCTCGCGGGTGCTTCGATGTAGAAGTACGGACAGTAGCCGTGCACGTGGCAGCACACAGAGTTGCCCTGCATGGTCACGCCAAACATGCGCACCACCGGCACGGGTCCCAGCTGTGCACCGGGCATGCCTGGCAGCGGTTGGCCCATATAGTTCTCCACATCCAATTGCTGGAACTGCAAGTTGTCTTTGCTGGGATCCAGCTTCGGAGCTGCTGGCCGCGACCATCGCTCGCTGGTCTGCTGATTTTCGGGCCCATCGCCCAGGAGCTGAGTCTGATCCAGCTCTTCACTGTTTTCAAAGGCTGCCAGCTCCGCCTCGAAGTTCATTTCCTCATCTTCGTCTGGATTCCTGAGGCCCAAAGTGATGTTTAGCTGCACATTGCACAACCTTGCATTGACGCTCACCTGAACTTCTTGGCTTGGCCATTGGTGTTGCTGCTAAATTTACGCTTGGCGTCCATAATAAATGGTTTATGTGTATAAATAAAATGAACTCATGGAAATTGCGAAAAATGATGCAAAAATAAGGCGCGCTTTGGCCAGCAGTGTGAGCGCGGAATTATCGATAAAATCACAAATATACCAAAACATACCTTCTCATTTTAAAAATATATCGTAAATATACCGTAGTCTTAAATCATATTCCTCGATTTTGATGTTCTATATAATATTACCTTGCTGGTCTCGTTATTTGATTGTACCTGAACTGCACAAGAATTCTAAAAGTTTCTTAATATTCGTACCCCCCAGTCGACAGGGGTTAACGGTCCACCAGCTGGCGGTCCAGCAAACGCGACCAAGTTGGCAGGTCTGTCAGGGTACAGGGTGACCATTTACGTATATACTGGGGTATTTTAATTTATATACACTTTTTTATTGGAAATCTATGGCTCCAAACCAATGCAAAAGCAAGTAAGTTTCTAATTAATTAGAAGCTAAATAATTATTAATTTTAATATTAATTAATAGAACAAGTAGCCAAATGCCGTAACATTCCATTCCTATACGTTACATTCTTACGTTTTATTGTTCAATTTGTATTGTAGAACTTTATTTTGTTAGCAATCCAGTAAAAGGAAGCCATTAAAACTAGCCAATCTTGTGGAGAATTTATTCATCAGTCGGATAAAATTATAGTTTTACCGCAGAGTGTCCTAAGTAACTGGTAATATCAAATTTAAATTAAAAATCGAGGAAAATGAGTCAGGATTTGGTATACCTATGGTATATTTTGAAAATGAGAATGTATATTTCTTAATATTTCTGATCAATAAGCCCGCGGTCACACCTCTTGTACCTAGTGCTGCCAACTCCTTCGGTCATAAAAAAAGCTAAACGAGCCTTTGAAAAAACTAGAAATAGCCAGACTGGAAATGCCAGCCATATATTAACAGCAAAACACCTTTGATGTATAGATACTTAATTAATTTAGCTTAAGAATTGAAATAATTTCACTTTATTCATAGAAAAACACATCACTTTACTTCTTTAACTTAAATATTTTACATTTGTAGTCTGCCCATCAGTCATCATTTGACATTAATTTGAACAAGCGTTTAAATACCAGGAATAGCTCTGGGACTCCCACCTTAAGTTTTACTTCTACTGTCTGCTTCTAAACTTTAGATTTTAAGGCCACCCAATCTTTGAATGAGGGGTTTTGCATCCAGACGCGGTGTTTTCTTATACATATGTATATCTTAGGCAATTTCACTTTAACTCGCGATCCATACAGCTCGATTGAATTAAATGTCCTTTTGACTTATCGATCTTTGTTTGCCATTCGTATGGAAAAAATATTACAAAGTACTTAAGCAGATGTTTTTAAAAGGTTAAAATTACGCTAAAATGTCTTGCAAAATAGCCATAATTCCCTCTAGCCGCTATTTAGGATTTATCGCGCATATGGAAATTTAAAAACGTTAGAGCTAGTGGGAAAATAGCTAAATTGGCAACACTGCTTGTACCACCAAAATCCAACAATTTCAGATGTAAAACGCATTAAATTGGCCATCCGTAGCCCGTGTAAATAAATTGAGCTCCTAGTGTGGTGCCTAGAAAAGGAAAAAGAAGCAGTTGCTGCAGAAATAACTGAAATGACAAGGAGGTAGTGAACCTGCTACCTGACCGAGCATTGCCTGGTGGGGGTGTCGTCCGTAACTTCTCTCCTCTCTCTGCCGTCCGTCTCTCTCTCTCGCACGCGTTGTGTTGGAAGGAGGGGGATGGTTAATGTTACGAACGTATCGAAGTGAATCACATTTTGAGGAATAATCGCAAATCATGTACCAAAGCGCCTGCAATGCGGCCACAACGGGCTCTTGTGTCCCAGGAGCTGGCAATCAGCCCGATAACGAAAGGCAGTCGGCATTGATTGCCCAGCAACCACCCACCGCCCCAGTGGAGCCCGATTACAGTGGATTCGATATCGTTAAGGCCACCCAGTACGGTGCCATAGCCAGGGTCCGGGAGCTCGTCGAGTCTGGCTGGGATGTGAACCAGCCGGATAGCGAGACGGTCACGCTCCTCCACTGGGCGGCGATCAACAATCGAAGGGACATCATCAGGTACTTCCTGGAGAAGGGCGCCACCGTAGATGCCGTTGGAGGTGAGCTGAATGCCACGCCCCTGCACTGGGCCACCAGGCAGGGTCATCTGGGTGCCGTAGTCCTGCTGATGGCCGCCGGTGCTGATCCACGCATACGGGATGCGGAGGGCTGCTCCTGCATACACATTGCAGCTCAGTTCGCCCACACCGCCCTGGTTGCCTACTTCATAGCCAAGGGCGTGGATCCAGATCTGCAGGATCGCGGTGGAATGACGGCGCTCATGTGGGCCGCATGGAAGGTGAGTGTGGAGTGTAGTGGATAATCTGGCATTCCCTTCTTGACTATCAATCTTTCAGGTGTGCGCCCTGGACCCCGTGCGATTGCTGCTCACCCTCGGAGCGAATCCCGCCATGGTTGACTACACGCATGGCAACACGGCCCTGCATTGGGCCATCCTGGCACGCAATGCCACAGCCATTTCCACACTGGTGCTCAAGTCGAAGGCCTCGCTGGATGTGCCCAACATGCGTGGAGAGACGCCGCTGACGATGCTCGAGTCTCAAACTGGAGCCATCTGGATTGGGGCAAAGGTAATGGATCGCGTGCGAGAGGCGGCACTCACCTCACAGCAGCGACGCTCGCTGGTGTCCAAGCTGCGGCACGACAAACGCTTGCGATGGTGGTCAATGGTGGCCTGCCCCTTCACCGCCTTCTATCTGGCAGGGATCGTGTTCACCCTGAACACGCTGTATATCATTAAGTTTTTCCTGCTCGGCTGCTTGTACGGCATATTCCACACCATTGGTAAGACCCTCTTCGACGAGCACCTGATGGCTCTGCTCCCGCTGAGCGTTTATCTGGCCACCAAAGCGTGGTTCTATGTCACCTGGCTGATGTATATCGACGATGCTGTCACCCTAACGGCCACTGTGTGCTTCCTCCTCTGCTCCCTGGTATTGTGGGTGTGCTTCCTCAAGTCGTGGAAGGGAGATCCCGGCATCATTCGACCCACCAGGGAACAGCGATTCAAGGTGAATTATCTCTGGAATATCCACATTTACCTTACTAAACTCTTTCTGATCTCCTACAGACCATCATTGAGCTATCGGAACGGGGTGGCATAGGGTTTGAGCCCGCCTCCTTTTGCTCTGGCTGTCTGGTGAGGCGACCCATTCGCTCCAAGCACTGTTCGGTATGCGATCGTTGTGTGGCACGATTTGATCATCATTGCCCCTGGGTGGGCAACTGTATTGGGCTAAAGAATCACAGCTACTTCATGGGTTTCCTCTGGATGCTGCTGATCATGTGCGTCTGGATGCTGTACGGCGGCTCCAAGTACTATGTGAATCACTGCAATGTACACTTTGATGGTGAGTCAACAGTCAGAATTCTGTTCGGAGTAAACCATTATGTTCATTGCAGACTTCCTTGGGGCCATGCGTTCGATTGGCAACTGCAACGCCTGGGTGGGCTGGGTAATGGGAAATGCCCTGCTGCACATGTCCTGGGTAATTCTGTTGACCATTTGCCAGACATATCAGGTGATTTGCTTGGGCATGACTACCAATGAGCGCATGAACCGTGGACGCTATCGTCACTTCCAGGCCAAGGGCGGACACAGTCCGTTCACGCGCGGACCAATCCAGAATCTAATTGACTTTTTGGAGTGCAGCTGCTTTGGCTTAGTGCAGCCAAAGCGTGTGGATTGGATGAACTACTACGACTATGATGCCCATGTGCATCAGACCATCGAGAAGGAGCCGCTGCTCAGCGTTGACTGCCCGGACGGGATGGGTGGCGATCATCAGTATGTGTAGGATAAGTCCTATCGGGATGCGAAGACGCTTCAGATGCCCATAGCGCATGTCTAACGACGGAACTGCTTTCGAAAACAAACCGCAACAGCTTCTTCTCAACCCTATCCCTAAACCCCATACCCATGCCCAATCCGTATGATTTCCGGAAACCCTTTGTAATTGGTACGCTCTGCTATGCAACAAAAAAATAGAACCAACGATACACAAACAAAAATCAGGAGACAGACAGACAGAAGCGTCATTGCCGACCGATATCGGATAATGGATTCAAGGAATGGATGGATGAAGAGTGGTTTATAGGGGAACGAAACCAGCGCCCCCACCCCACATACATACGTACATATTAATGCATGTATTACTGTAATTACTCTGTACATTTCTGCATATTAACTCTGCATCTTACACACAAAACTACACTTTGATAATAAGCTGAAAGTAAGTACTACGCGAACCGACACGATTTTGTCCCTCTCAAGTATTTGTAATACCAAAAAAAGAAACAGAAATAAGATAAACAAGAAAACGTATGAAATGAAACACCGAACAAATGCAATACCTAAAATCTAATAACTTAATGCAATACGAATCAAAAACGAAAGCAACATTTTATTTAAGCGTGAAATGTTTAATTCAAATTTCAAATTCAACAAATAAGATATTCAACAAATTTGTAAAGCGCACACCACAACAGAAAAACGGAAACACCAAAAGAACTTTATACGAGTAGATATCTAAAACACACAAAGTAAAATCCATTTGGTATTTGTATTCTCTTTGAAGCTGATCGAAGTCCTGTGCGAAGTTTCCTCTCTGGGGAGTGAGTCTTAAATTATTAGAAAAATGTGAAGTTTAAGTTGAAAGTGTAATTAATTGTTTATTCGGGAACTACTGTATTTCAGCTTCAACAGGCTCTCTAGATTTTGTGGAAACATCGCGTAGGATGAGGCTGACCACCACAAAAAAAGTTTACAATCAATCGATGATGATTCCCAAGCACCCCCAAGAAGCAGCCTAGCATACTTAAATAACAAATTATAAACGAGATCCAATTCTAATAATGCACTAGTCTAGTCAGAAAATCATTTAAGTGAAATGTTTAAGTGCAACAAGAGCCACAAAAAATCGATACAAAAGAATATTGCGCATATACCAATATATAGAAATATGTGTATGTAGCTATGAAATTAAATATTTATATTTATAATGTATGTATGCATCTCTAATGCGGTACGGGGAAGAACGATAGGAATTTCAGCAACCTGAGAGCACGCAAAAAATAACGATATGTTTCGCAACACGTTACTTAAATGCATTTAAAATTAATTCAAACAATATCTACAGCAAATCTAATGTTGAATCCTTCAAGAAAAAAGCGAATATTTTCCACTATTGTACGGTACTAGAAAATATTGATAAATCTATAAAAAAAAACACAATAACTTTTTCAATGTATTTTATATTTGAGATTATACAAAACGAAGAAGACGAACTCGATGATCAAATGATCGGAGGAAGATGGAGGAGAGCACCGATCACACTGCGATTTGCTATGAAAGTTATTTGTTTAGAATGGATTTTTTTGTATATCTATGCTTCGCGCTCGTTTGAAAAAGCTTTGGAAAGACTAAATATAAGCAAAAACCAACCAAGTACTAACATCAAGCCAAAATCAAGGCGCATTAATAATCAAGTTAAGTGCTTTTCTGGCCCCAATTAATGGCCAAAATCAAAGCCCCATTGCCTACATCTTTAGTTTAGCGGTTAAGTTCAAGACAAATATACATATATATACAAATAAAACGAGGATATATCATATATCTTTATATATATATATATATATATATATATATATATATATATATATATATATATATATATATATATAAATGTGAATGTATTAAATAGTGTGTAGAACGATGGAAATTGTGAGCCCCACGAGGTGTCCTGTCTGTATGTATGTATGTGTAACAATGTGGCGTTAAAAACAAATTTAAATAATATTAAACTTTATTCCGTATTCGAACAACAACAAAAAACAATCATGGAAATTCTACAAAAAAAAAACAAAGATGGATGTGTTCTTTTACAGGGATTTGGGGGGATGTATAATGTTCGCTTCCCATAGAGTACATTATCTGATTGATCTTGACAGATTCCCGCAGTTGTAATTTATGCTACAATCTTCTACCCATTGAAAATCTACAAAATTCTCACACTTTACGAGGCTTTTTACGAAGAAAATAAACAATGAGAGACTGGAGTATTCATTTAGATGTTCAACTAATACGATTTATGTTTCCATAAGCGATAGGATTCGTAACAATAAAATAAAATGGGTTGATTGGGTTTTAATTTTTTTTTTATTGTTTTGATGACATAATATTCTGTAGATTTTAATTTTTTTTTTTGTTGTCGACATTGATGCATTTATAGGATCCTTTCTTTTAAAAATAGAGTTTATTTTTTGTCCCTTTTTTATGATAAATTAAGTTGAATGGTGTTTTTTATCATTTTGTGTGATTTTTGCTTTTGAATTATGTTTATTAAAAGTAAAACATTTAAATATATGTTTATATGCAATTATTAAAACACACAATTATCGATCGCATTTTACACTTAGATTTCGTGATTAGCTTGAATCCGCTCTTATATCCATCGTTATATTTTAGCAGCAGGTGTAAATGATATACAATATAGTTATTCTTGCTTTATGTATACATAAAATTACTTGCTTCGATTGCAAAACAAATATATGAGAATATCGCGCGTTTGCAACGTGCCAAATTTTGTATATATGTTTTTTGCATTCATTCATTATATTATTTTTTAGTTTTATAGCAAATTAAAAAAACACAAAGGCCTATGCACTAGGCCTAACGAAAAGAATTGTTCGGTTAGTTTAAGGAAATATATAAAGATATATATATAGATAGATAGATGGATAGATAGATATAGTATATGCAAATAGAGAAGAGGTTAAAGGTTGAAGGAAGAGTCTCGTCCTGGACTGCGGTCTGTGCGTGGGTCTGTTTCGGTTTCTGGAGAATGTCTGGGGTATAGCAATAGCGTCTTTTGTCTATATAGATATATATGTTTAATATGTATCAGGTGGGATTTCGGCGTGGCCAGCTTGAGCTCAATATATATAATATACTATATAATATATATGTATATGTATGTATGATTTGTTTTTGGTCGGAGTTGAAAGAAGCATTAGGTATTCCGTTGTTCATCGCTTTGCACACAGAGAAAGAAGGGGAGTTGGGGACCGAAAAGTATGTTAAACGTATACATATATTGCAATGCGTTTCGTAAGCGCACTTGATAAAGGAGTATAAGGGAGAATGGTGAAAAAAATCGAACATAAAGCGGTTAAAATATATATATACTCGTATGTATATTCGTTTAAGCCTAGAAAAAGTGTTGCAAACTGAGCTTGGGCGTGGCACAAAGACAGGAATTTGAATTTACATCAAGATTTGTATAGCAAAGAATTCAGAATTCACGGAAAAGGGGTTTTAGGTAAGTTCGAAATACATAGAAATTCCCGATTTTGTGCCACAGAGAAGCGCAATTCATTTTTTTCTGTTAACTACGGTCGCCCCGCAGACTTTTTAGATGCCTTATAGATAGATCTCTTATCCCCTTTTACCCTCCAGCACTGCAACTAAAACTCGTTTATACGTGGACCCCAACCAAACCACAAAACAACACAGTAGACAATACCGCCTGCCAGAGACACATATTTCAGGAAACCAAATTCTGGATCAGAACAACCATCAACCATAAATCCATTTCTGATCTCCGATCGACCGCCAACTCGTGACATTTGGCGTGCGGCAGTGAGCAGCGCAACGGTTAGAAGTCCACGCATAAACGATCTATCAATAAATATACCAAATATTTATACATTATACATGCCTTAGTGCCTACGAACGCATGTGTAGACACATGCCTTAAATATAGTAATATATATATATATATATATGTATTGTATATATAAATTTCTTTTAGTACACATATTAAATATTTTCTTTTAAGTTTTTTTTTCCTTTTTTTCTTGTTTTCCTTTGCTTTCTTTTTGTTTTTCTTCTTTTTAATAAAAAATATATATAAATATATGCTATTTTGAATTTGATTTTATCTCTCTGATCATATGTATAGTTAATCATATATTTTTTTTCTTTACTTTTCTTTGTTATTATTTTTATGCATTTAAATCTTTTTGCTTGCTCAGTTGGTTTTCCATTAAATACGCTTACAGATTTACATATATAGAGTGTATATAAAAAGTTCAATGATTATTGGTTGGATTCGGGGAATAGGTTATACATGGGGCTTATGCCTGGGCTTTAGTGTAGTGTACCCCTGCGATGGGGTACCGCGCGCACGCAAGCAAGCAGAAGAAGTCCAGCGATTAGCAATCGTTTCAAACACAATAAAAATATAATAATTAGAGCAAAAAAAAAATATATATAAAACAAGAATAAATAACAATTGTGTAAGTAGGAGGGGGATTGGTTTTCATACAAATTATAAAATATATATATACATATCTGTATATATATAAAGATGTTTTAAAACTGAAGCCTTAAACCTATGTGTGTCGAGCGGGATTGGTTTGGTAGATACGAGATGGGACTGAAGAAAGGGTCTGAGAAAAGTGACTTGTGTGTGTTGCGGTGTGGCGTGGTGTGGGCATGGGCGTGTTTTTTTGCTTGCTTATGTGCCTGCTTGGTCTTGTATTAATATGTATAAACGTTTATCATATATTTATAAACATTAGTTCCCACTGATGTTACGTCTTTTGCAGCAGCTCGCTTTGTGGGCTGGGCGGACTGGGCGACTGTTGTTGCAGCATTGTCGGGGCTGACAGTGTTGTTGCCTGTGTAATAACTGTCGTGGCAGAGATGGTCTGTTGCTGTTGCTGCTGCTGCAGTTGATTGGGTGCCTGCTGCAGCTCCTGCGGGTGCTGCTGCAGCTGGTTCGATTGATGATTGTTCAGCGGCTGATTTGAATTGCAGAGCACCGAATAGACGGAATCAACTTTGCTTAGCTTCTCGAAAAGCGGGATCAGTTCGCGCAGTTCACAGTCGGTGACATCGTCGAACCAGGATTTTACAGGAACCTTAAACAAAACAGAACAGAATTAATATTAAATTGATTATGTTTATGTTTCGATAACTTACTGCGTTGTCTGGATGAAATATATAACTGGCCGGTGAATTGTCAACAATGACAATCTTTTGAAGATCACGACCCAAACGATTCAGATCCTTAATGTAATTACCCCTGTAATAAACGCACGATTCCCTAAACAGTCTTGCACGAAACACATTCCATCTGAAAATACAAATGTTATAGTTTTTATTACAATTTTTATTCCTTGTATAATCTCTGCCGTTTCTACACTCACTTGTCTAACAGATCTGCTACGGGATCTGCATATTTGGCTAGTGATGCTGTAAACAAAACGCACTCGTACAATTCGCCCATCTTCTGCAGAAACTCATCCACATGGGGTCGCTTCAGAACGTACACCTGATGTACGGTTCCATCGATCTCCACGGGCACTATGAAATCTGCATTCGGTATGGGCTAGAAAAATACAAAATATATTATATTTGCACTGATTTGAGGGTGTAGGGAGACTCACCTTAAAACTACTATGCACTAGGGTCTCATCCAAGTCGATAACCATGCACTTTCTGTGCACATCGGTGAGCCTAACCTGAGGTAGTAGGTACCTTTGTTGGTCCTGTAAAGGTGGCGGTGTTGTAGAGCCATCGATTTGTGTGCCATTCTGGTTTGTTTTTGTTCGATTTCGTCGCCAGCAACAGAGCAGAGACTGGATAAATCCACGCTTTTGTGGCTTTAAGCGTTCCACATCGTCTGTGGATTATAGAAAGACAAAAAGAGTAGATTTATCAGTATACAAAACGTAAAAGATTGCAAAATTCCACTCTATATTGAATTATAAATGAGAATCCAAGGGAACATTCCTTCACTTTTCCATTGTTTTCTGTTCAATAAAATACATCCTTCTTTTCCGCCTCCAGTGTTTTCCTACCAAGTTCATATATTTATGTAGAAATACCTTATTAAACTGTTTCCGATCAAGTTCATAAACATACGTTCGAATATATGGAATTTCCTTGATATTTTCTTAATGGCTCCATCAATTTAAATACAAATTCCACGCCGACGTTCCATAAAAACTTCTCTCCGACTGTCTGACTCTATATTTAAGATCACGCCGCAGCCCACAAAACGCCCACTAATTTTCAACATTTACTCGTACGTACATAAACATTCGCATGCGTATACCATTTAGTACATATTTCCATTCCATTCCTTCATTTGTATCTGTTGTTTGTTGCTTTTCTGGCTGGATTACTATTTACGGATTTGCAGTTCATAAAGCCATAAACATTTCTGTGTTTGGCTAAAAATTAGCATAGAACAAATATAGGTCTATTACGATATCTACCATACATACATACATACATACATCTGATGGTTAATACTGCAGTACTACATGCAATGCAGATAGTTAGTTTGGGTTTCTTGTTTATTTGTGCGAAAATGTTTAAAAATAGAAGTCAAAGGCAGAATATT